TTGGCCCAGGACGGATTGTCCCCGCCTCGACACTTGGATGACCGTGGGGCTATGAAGTGGATAGGGGGGTTACAAGTGGATGCTAAGGTGGGCTATATCTGGCCCAACCTGGCTTATGAGTGGGTTACAGCTGCCTTAAGTAGCTTAGGGGGGTTAACGATCCAGGCTAAGTGGGCCCCGCCCACTTAGCGGAGTTATCTAACCCCCGAAGCCATTCGGGGCGCTTGTAACCCACTTTAAGCCAGGTTGGGCCAGATGTAACCCACCTTAGCATCCACTTGTACCCCCCCTATCCACTCAGAACCCCCCACTGTCGTATTCTTCATGTGGGTCGCCCAAGCCCGCAAGAACGTTGCCTTGTGCTGCACCTCTATCTCGACGTGTTCGGAGTACTCCCACAGGTTGCAGTAGCGAGCCCAGCCGTTGCCCATGGTCATACACTTCTTCGCGTAATCTTGGGACCTTTGCAAGCCCTCACTCGCAGCAATCATTGCCCTTCGGCACGTCCAGGGGCTCGTGCTATTCCGTGTTCGACCTCTCGAGGGTGTAGTCTTTGCAGTTTTATCGCAAGCCATTTGTTTTGACATTGTTTTTGTTCGATTCCCGAAGGCAGCTTTTTGCACTCAGGAGTGGCTCCTCTTTCAGGGCTCTTGCTGCGACCGAACTTCTGGCCCAATGCCGACCGCAACTCGAGGCCGTACTGGATCGTATTCTCGATGCTCTTCTGCGTCTGGTCTGACTCGCGCCCCTCGGAGCAGAAGATCGCGTTGTCTGCAGTCTCCTTGAAGTTCGCTTTCAGCTTCTCCTCCGCCTCCGTCACCTGCTTGAGCTCCTCGGCCGACAGCGCGTCAGCCATCGCTCGAGCTCAACTTCGAAACTCAAGCGGACGTCGCGCGATGCTCGCGACAGCGTGGAAACCCAAACACCTTGCCTTGAGCAAGAATGGCTACAGTGATGGCGAACAACCTAGAGCCAGTGGGGGCACCATGCTCGCTAGTTTCGCGCTGTTCGTATACATGTTGGCTCAAGCTCCCAGGCGTTTTGCAGGAAACGGGTGAGGAGGAGACAGCGGAGGAGGAGAATGCTGATGATGATGATGGTGATGAATGATGATGATGATGATGATGATGATGATGATGATGATGATGATGATGATGATGATGATGATGATGATGATGATGAGGATGATGGATGATGGATGAGGATGATGATGAGATGATGATGAGGATGAGGATGAGGATGAGGATGAGGATGATGATGATGATGATGATGATGATGATGATGATGATGATGATGATGATGATGATGATGATGATGATGATGATGATGATGATGATGATGATTATGCTGATGCTGATGCTGATGCTGATGCTGCTGCTGCTGCTGGTGCTGCTGCTGATGATGATGATGCTGATGCTGATGCTGATGCTGCTGATGATGATGATGACGAGGAGGAGGAAGAGGAGGAGGAGGAGGAGGAAGAGGAGCGAGGGATTCGGTAGCCTTGCTGGGCGGGGGGGCCAGATCTTTCGAACCCCTTTGTGGGCCCACATAGTCCCTCGAAGACCTTGGGGACCTGGTGGTAGTCGGATGCATTTGTGCTACCACGGCCAGGTGGTCAAGCATTTAGTTAACGCCCCCCCGTAACCATGCTGATTTTTGCGTGTTGCCATCGCTACAGCCGTGCCGTGGTCATGTGTTGAACCCGCTCAAGCGCTCAAACGCTCACAGTCCAGGCCGATCACAGGCCCTACCTCAACCTCCCACAAACATATTGGTCTAACAGCCTTGCCCGGTTCAAGCGACGATCGCGACCAAGACGACGACGGCGTCCGCGACGATGACTGCGATATGTGCCAACCTCTGCCAGCGCATGGCAGCACAAACCCACGGAATCGCCCAGCGGTGAGGAGGAGAATGAGGAGGAGGAGGAGGAGGAGGAGGAGGAGAAGGATGATGATGATGAGGAGGAGGAGGATGAGGAGGAGGAGCGGTGGATTCTGATAAACGAATGCCCACGGCACTCAGAAACAGAAGTCGTTTTCCATCATCCGCTGCAGGTCCACCTGCGAATAGTGCGCCGAGCGTGTTCCCGATGATGATGCCAAGCCTGACGACGTCTCTGGATCCTCGGGCGGGGGAGGGGGGATACGGGGCAGGAGGAGGAGGAGTGCGTACGAGAATGACGGGTGAACAAGGTCGACGCTCCCCATGAAGGTCCCCCCAAAGAAGCAACAGGGAGCACCCCAGCGTTCAACAATTGTTTCGGAAGCTTTGAAATGGTCCTAGGGGGAGAAGGAATCATGGTACCGATGGAGAAAGACGAGGAGCATTCGAATAGTCAAGAAGATACAAAGGCTGTCGGCACAGTGGGCCAGACTCCCAACCAGGGTAAGGAGAAAGAGGAGGAGGAGGAGGAAGAGGATGAGGAGGAGGAGGAGGAGGAAAAGAAGGGAGGGAGGGAGGAGGACGACGACCCCCTCCCCCAGAAGGTCTGGTTTTTCCAGACGTCCGTCTTCTGCTCGAGGTCGCCGTGGTTCTCCTGCGAGGCCGCGTCGTTCGGCACGAGCGTGTCCTTGCCGAACTTCGGCGGTAGTTGGTGGAGGCCCTTGTCGAGCTTGTCGGTCGATTCCATCTGCTTCATGCCGTCCTTGGTGTTGTCAGTCTCGGCGTTCTGGTCGGAGGCGCCGTCTGTTTTGCCCTTGGAGTCCTTGGAGCCTTTCTTGGGGATGTCCTCGTCGTCTTTCGCATTGGTAACCGTCTTGGTGCCCTCGCGCTTCTTGGCCTTGCCATTGCCCTTCCCCGTGGCGTTTGGGAATTTCAGCTCGGCCAACTTTGCGTCCTTGTAGTGCCTCAGCTGGGCCTTTTCGACCTTGCCGTCGATGTAGTCCTGGGCCGCTTGGCTCATCAGGTTGACCGCATGCTCCTCGTCGTAGGCATCGCCATTCAGCTTCATTTGGCAGAGCTGGCCACCGCCGACCAGGGTGATGATCTCAATGCCGCCGCGGCTGGCACTCCCTCCGCTTGATCACCTCGACGGTGACCGAGTCCTTGTTACCGGTCCAGGAGGGCTTCGCCTTCTGCTTCGCCTTCGGCCTCGCCCTCAGCTGCTCGTCAACTCGAGTGGCCTCGATGTGGTCTCGGAGGCAGTACGCCGCGATGTCGGACCGAGTGCCGCCGGACCGAACTGCCACCACAGGGCCGTCCAGCTCCTCGCTCTCGGGTTTGATCAGCTCCACCGCGAACTCGGGTTCGCCATCGCCCGAGATCATGCTCCTCATGGCTTTGCTCCCCACTTGGAGCCAGCAGACAGCCCAGTCGATGGCATGCAACTCCTCGGGATCCGTCGGCTCCATGTTCTGCTTCTTCTTCTTCTTCTTCTGCTTCTTCTTCTTCTTTGGGGGCTGCTGCTTTCTAATGAACCTCGTGCGTTTCGCAGGCGGCGGGCTCACGTCCCCATCTCCAGCACTGGGCGCGGCGAGTGCCCCAGATTCTCGGATGGGCTCGGGGTGGTTGTCTTCGACGAGCTCGATCGTTGGGCTCGCGTGTGGAGACGGAGCCGCGGTGCTCTCCCTTGGGCCGCCGAGCTCGGCCTCACTCTCCTCGTCTGAGTCGTGCGGCTTGTCGTCGTAGAGGTCGTACTCCCCATCGGTCTCGTCCTCGTTGCCACCGTCGCCCTCGTCATCGCCACCATCGGCAGCCTGATGAGCCGCAGGCTCGGTACCGTCAACCGCCTCCTCTGGAGGATGCACCTTTTCGGACTCGTCGCCGTCGCAGTCCTCGCCCACCACCTTCTGCGCCCACGCCGCGTGCTTGTTCAGCGCGCTCTGGAGCTGATGTGCCAGCTCGCGGAAGCGCTTCGTCATGGTGTCGGCCCATTTGCCCAGCTTCTCTTCAGAGATCTTCCATTTCTCACCCTTGTCTTTCCTCACGAGGAGCATGGCCTGTCTCACGACCTTCTTCGTGTGAGTTAGCTTGTTCTCCACTTGGTAATTGTCGCGCCACATGTTGCGGAACTTTGAGATCTGTTTCCTGTCGATGCCCTTCCTGCCATTGCTGCTCTTCGCGTCCTTGAAACAATCCGCGGGCCCGACGTGCTTGCAGATGATGCCAGACAGTACTTCCGCTGACATCTCGGGGCGAGGGTGCGAAGACGCCGTATGCCCAAGATCTGCTGCAGAGTCTCGATACAGCTTCCTCGTGAGCCCAAATGGCTACAGGAGACGAGAAGGGGAGGAGGAGGTCGAGGAGGATCAGGAAAGGGAGGAGGACGAGACATAGGAGAGGAGGAGGCCTTCGGCTGGTTCGGCTGGCGTCGCACGCCAACATCCATGGTCCCCAGATAACGCCCGAGGAGTGTTCGGCACACTATCCAGAGCCTCCCCCCCTTCATCGGCCGACCGATGGGACCCAGAGTTGGGGTCCCCTCTCTCACTCCTCCTCCACCTCATCTTTTGCAATTTCTCTCGAATTATTTCTACGATTGGTCGTGCAAGGTCAATGTGATGGCAGTTCGAGTGGCAGAAGCAGAAGGATGATGATGATGATGATGATGATGATGATGATGATGATGATGATGTTGGTGATGATGGTGATGATGATGATGATGATGATGAGGATGATGATGATGATGATGATGATGGTGATGTGATGGTGATGGTGATGATGATGATGATGATGATGATGATGGTGATGATGGTGATGATGATGATGATGATGATGATGATGATGATGATGATGATGATGATGATGATGATGATGATGATGATGATGATGACCAGGGAGAAACATAATAATTTCTCGAGCGCGAACGAGCCAACGAATGTCAGTGAATGCGGGCACCGCATTTTAAGCTCTATATGGCTGGATCAGATCCGATCTTGAGTGTCAGATATGAAGGACCGCTGGGGAGAGACCTCCCCCACCCGGCGGAGCCCGCGCGCCCCGGCGTCACCAAGAGAAGCCGGCGCCGCCACGCGCCTTCGGTCGGGGCTCCTCCTCCCCCCCCCCCCGGGGCCACCGGGGCTCGGGCCGGGCGGGCCGGCAATGGCGGCTTGGGAGTGGGGCGCGGGGAGCGGCGGGGAGGAGGCCGCGGAGGCCGGCGCCGACGCGGCCGCGGAGGCTCCGGCTCTGGCTGCCCTCTTCCTGCTCGTACGTCCTGCTTCTCCTGCTCCTCCTTTCTCCTCCTCTCGCTCCTCCTCCTCCTCCTCCTCCGCCTCCTCCTCCTCATGCTTCTTCTCCTCCTCCTCCTCCTCCTCCTCCTCCTCCTCCTCCTCCTCCTCCTCCTCCTCCTCCTCCTCCTCCTCCTCCTCCTCCTCTCTCCTCCTCCTCCTCTCTCCGCCGGCGCCGACGCGGCCGCGGATGCTCTGGCTCTGACTGCCCGCCTCCTCCTCCTCCGCCTCCTCCTCCTCCTCCTCCGCCTCCTCCCTCCTCCCTCCTCCTCCTCCTCCTCCTCCCCCTCTTCATGCTTCTCCTCCCCCCCCCCCCTCATGCTCCTCCTCCTCCTTCTTCTCTTCCTCCTTCTCCTCCTTCTCCTCCTCCCTCGTCTCCTCCTTCCCCTCCCCTCCCTCCCTTCTGTGCACTCTGCATGGCCCTTGGGGGCGCTCTCCTCGTCGCCACACACACGCCGTACTCGACGTCCCCGAGCAGTCGTCCCAGCGGGCCTCGACGGGCCACCCAAGGCAGGGTCCATTTCGATTCGACTGGTCCGATTCGATATCGATTACGGTAGGTTTGCGTCGTGTCGACCAGCGGCGACCCCAGCGCGGACGTTCAAGGTTGAACGCCGCCGGCGACCCAGAATCGATCGATGTTGAACGATCGGACGTTGCGGCAGCGGCCGATCGTTCAAGGTTGAACGATCCCTGCGGTGTCAAAAACCAACGCTGGGGTCGGCACGACACGAACCTGTCGTATGGTATGCCCGATCTGGTTCGGTTCCGATGATCCGACGATGCGACGCGGCCCGATGCATGCTCGTGCGCTGCCGTGCATCCTGAAAAGTCCATGCCGACGCGCCCCGGTGCGATGAGCGTTCCGATGCCGTTCGACTTCCCGCGTCGATGCCGATCGCTCGTGCAGGGCAGCCCAGGCGTGTGTCAACACCCGAGCCCCGGGGCGCGGAGCGCTCCAGGGGTCGTCGCCAGAGGCGGCGCTGGGTGCGTGATGAGAACGCCCTGGGCTTTAGGGGGTGGGTCTGGTATCTGCTGCATGCAGGGTATGCTTGGAGGTGCCCTCTGCAATGCCGCCCAGACTGCGCCTCGAGATACTTGCAGAACCAACGGCGCGCGGCCGGTTCTCCCAGATGTCCTTTCCTAGGTTGCCTCTCTTGAGGGATGGGAGGGACAATCATATTATATCACATAATCCTCAGGATTCACTGCAGAACGCCTGGCACCAGCAGGGTGGCCTTGATGTTGACGCGAATTCGCTGTCCCACCATTATTGCTTCATCTGCCTCGTCCGCCCTCGGCCGTCCTCCTCTCTGACACTTCTTCTCATCCTCCCGCTCCTTCTTCTCCTCCTCCTCCTCCTCCTCCTCCTCGTCCTCCTCCTCCTCCTCCTCCTCCTCCTCATGCTCCTCCCTCCTCTCCTTCTTCGAACGATTTCCACCCTCCTCCCTTGCCCTCCTCATCCTCCTACAGCCGGCACGTTCGGCAGCCACACGGGGAGCGCAGCGCTCCCCCCTCCCCCGCCCCTGTCCCCCCTTCCTCCCTCCCTCCCCCTCCTCCTTTCCTCCTTCCTGCTCCCCTTCCTGCCTTCCTCCTTGCCTCCCTGTTCCCCCTGCCTCCTCACCTACCTTACTTTCCTCCCCTGTTCCACCTTCCTCCTTAATTCCTGCTCTCCTCTCTCCCACTCCTACCCCTTCCTCTCTCCTCCCCCTCCTGCTCCATGAGGTCTCTGGAGGCCTCTGGGGGCCCCTGGTGGAGGTTCCCCCGAAGCCCCAGAGCCCAGTGGAAGCTCCAACTTGCCCAAGCCTCTGGGAACTTCGATCCTGGCTGCTCGATGTTCACCCTCCTCCCGCGTCTTCTTCTTCTTCTTCTTCTTCTTCTTCTTCTTCTTCTTCTTCTTCTTCTTCTTCCTTCTACTCCTCCTTCTCCTCCTCCCTCTCCTCCTCCCCCTGATCCTCATCCTCATCCTCATCCTCATCCTCTCCCCTCTCTTGGGATACAACTACTGGGAGGTTAAGTTTAGCATCTGCGCTGGTATTTCCATTGTCGAGACTGGCCTGATCTGGCACAATCCCGCTCAATCTGGCGTACTCGCGTTGGAATATGGCCCAACCAATCCCGTTTCATGCGGGGCCTAATGAGGGTCAGTTCGGTTTCATGGCGCCGAATCGGGATTCATCGTATTTACTCGTTCTCAGGAAGACCTCCCAGGAGTTGCCTCCTAACTTCCCCCTCCCCCCCCCTCCCTCCTCCCCATTCCCCTCCCCCTCCGCCGAGCCACTGCGCAGGGCAGATCGAATCGTCTGTGAAGGGGCCAGCGCCCGACAAC